AGCTGGGTCAACTCTGGTCGGTACCTGGAAAGGAAACTGCCAATGAATATGACACATCATTGGTCCTATTTCACAGGACGGGACTGCTCAAACCACCTCCAAAATTTGGATTTTTCTAACCTGCTGAGTTAGGAAAAACCTCAAATTTCCCAGAAGAGGCGACTCAAAATTCATGGCCAACAGGACACCACGTTACATTTTGAAGGAAGCCACCTCTGCCTCAGAAAACCCTATAGAAGTGACTGATTAGCACATACACAAACACAGCTCCTGGCTTTGCCCTTTCGGCCATGAACACAGCAAGAGGCGGACATATATGTGGGTTTGCAGCTCACCGCCCGAAGCTGCGCTCCTTCACATGACGGCTCCCTCCCAAGCCACTTGGGGCGAGCCGGCGCACGGATGCAGCGGGATGCGTGAGTCACTCCACCGCTGCCATAGCAACGCACAAGGAACATCATTTCGGATGTGCGCGCGAGGCACGCGGCACGCGATTTCCTTGGGAGGCTTGAAGCACGCTGCGCACTCCTCCCGAGAGGGAAAAAAAGCCACACAGTCCTTTTGTTCTACACATAGAGAAAAGGGAAAAAAGAGGAATGTTTCTATACCTATTCTTTGGCGATGCCAATAAATAGAGGCTTGCATTCAACTCGGGCTCTTTGGATGTTGCCAAAGAGGAACCTATTGAAGTAAAGAGCTGCTTCGGAAGAGTCGGAGGGCTTTAAAGTCACCTAAAAAGCGATACGTAGATCTGGGACTCTTTTTGTATTGTGTCTCCATTATAGGAATGGAAGGGCCTCCCAAACCTATGATAGGAAACCCATAAGTCCTGTGTCCCTCCACATTTGTTGTGTTGAGTTTTAAAGAGTGGAATTTCTTTCTTTTTTTGAGAAACTGCAAGTCGCTTCTGGTGTGAGAGAATTGGCCGTCTGCAAGGACGCTGCCTAGGGGACGCCTGAATGATGTTTTTACCATCCTTGCGGGAGGCTTCTCTCATGTCCCCGCATTTCAGTGGGCATTGACCTTGAGTTTGGGAGTTGTAGTTCACCTACATCCAGTGGACTCAACAGTGATGTATCTGGACCAAACTTGGCACGAATACTCAATATGCCCAAATGTGAACACTGGGTGGAGTTTGGGGGGAAATAGACTTTGACATTTGGGGGTTGTAGTTGCTTGGATTTATAGTTCACCTCCAATCAAAGAGCATTCTGAGCCCCACCAATGACAGAATTGAACCAAAGTTGGCACACAGAATTCCCATGGCCAACAGAAAATACTGGAAGGGTCTGGTGGGCATTGACCTTGAGTTTTGGAGTTGTAGTTCACCTGCATCCAGAGAGCACTGTGGACTCAAACAATGATGGATTTGGATCAAACTTGACACGAAAATTCAACATGGAGAGAGAGTGGCCAGATGGTCAAGCTGGGTTTAGGAAAGGCAGAGGAACGAAAGACCAAAGTGCCAATATCCAGATGCTGGAGAATGGAGAAAGGCAAGGAGTTCCAGAAAAAACATCTATTTCTGTTTTATTGACTATTCTAAAGCCTTTGACTGTGTGGATCATRATAAATGGTGGCAGGTTCTTGGTGGTATGGGCATACCAAGCCACCTTGTCTCTCTCCTGAGGAATCTGTATAAGGACCAAGTAGCAACAGTAAGAACTGATCATGGAACYACAGACTGGTTCAAGATTGGGAAAGGCGTACAGCAGGGTTGTCTACTCTCCCCCAACCTATTCAACTTGTATGCAGAACACATCATGCGATGTGCGGAGCTTGAGGAATGCAAGGCTGGGGTGAAAATTGCTGGAAGAAACATTAACAACCTTAGATATGCAGATGATATCACTTTGATGGCCGAAAGCGAGGAGTAGCTGAGGAGCCTTCTAATGAAGGTGAAAGAAGAAAGTGCAAAAGCTGGGTTGCAGCTAAACATAAAAAAAAAACCCAAGATTATGGCAACAAGACTGATTGACAACTTTGAAATAGAGGGAGAAAACGTGGAGGCCGTGACAGACTTTGTATTTCTAGGTGCAAAGATTACTGCAGATGCAGACTGCCGCCAGGAAATCAGGAGATGCTTACTTCTTGGGAGGAGAGTAAAGACCAATCTCAATAAAATAGTGAAGAGTAGAGACATCACACTGGCAATGAAGATCCACATAGTCAAAGCAGTGGTATTCCCCATAGTCACCAATGGATGTGATAGCTGGACCATAAGGAAGTCTGAGCGAAGGAAAAGAGATGTGTTCTGTCTCGCGCTGGGCCTGTAACAGCTGTCTTTTCTATAGGACGTATACTTTAAGCCCAGCGGGAAGCCAGGGGTGCCTCAAAGAGAGGTTCTCAGGGATTTTTCTGAAGTGATGGTCTTTAGAGCCTTTAATGATACAACAAAGCCTTTATTATGGAACAAACAACAAATCTTCAATGGTTCAAACAACACCACAAGGCTTTCTTAGTCTAGTCCTCAATGGGCTGGTACCTGACTTTAATTAACTGGACCTTCTCTGTAGGAAAAACCCTTTTTAACCTCACCCAGACTGTTTACTTTCTATGCCGCATCGGTGTGGGTCCTACTACCGATTCCAAATGCGTCTGGGTATCGAGTAGATCTACCAGCAGAGGCTTGAAGTTCGGTGGATCTGTAGTGCTGTCTTCCCTCAGAGAGTTCTTTGAAACTGTTTTCCCTCTGATTGCTGTGAGGCTGAGAGGCTGTGGGCTCTCAGCCAGAGCCTTGGGACCTTTTCCCTAGAATTTCCTTTTCCCTGAATAGTCTTGAGAAAAGAAGCTTTTCTACGGGACGAGCTGGTCTGCGTCCTATAGTCTAGCTTCCTTGTATGAGACTGACCAAAACATGGCTCCTTTCCCTCCCAGAACCCTGAACAAGGGGCGGAACCAAAGCTTAATTATGATGGACAGGAGGCCTGCCCTATGACTGCAAACAGATAACAGAAAGAAAATAAAGTTGGAGCTCCTGGTACAGCCGTACCAGCACAAGATGCTTTTGAACTGTGGTGCTGGAGGAAAGTTCTGAGAGTGCCTTTGACCGCCAGAAGATCCAACCAGTCTATACTTCAGGAAATAAAGCCTGACTGCTCATTAGAGTGAAGGAGAATAGAGGCCAAAATGAAGTACTTTGGCCACATCATGAGAAGAAAGGAAAGCTTAGAGAAGACCTTGATGCTAGGGAAAATAGAAGGAAAAAGGAAGAGGGGCCGACCAAGGGCAAGGTGGATGGATGGCATCCTTGAAGTGTCTGGACTGACCTTGAGGGAGCTGGGGGTGGTGACGGCCGACAGGGAGCTCTGGCATGGGCTGGTCCATGAGGTCACAAAGAGTCGGAACCGACTGAACGAATGAACAACAACAACAACAAGCGGTTTAGCTAGTTTCTTCCTCTGAAATAGAGCCTTCTTTACTTAGTGTTCGTTGCTGGTCCTCCAGTCAAGAATTAACCAGGGTTGTCCTTAGAGATCAGATAGGATTTGGTGCCTTCCAAGTTGTCACTACCCTCAAGCATTTCTTAGGGTTTTCTTAGGGCGGGACAACTCAGAAGTGATTTAGCTTGTCAAACACCAACCCGAGGGTTGATTTTATATAGAAATCAACATGATGAGACTTTGGACACATGCACTGAGGATAAGACCACGCAAAGATGACTTTCGTTGAGTCAGACGGTGGCTCTGTCCTTGCCCAGCGTCCTTTTATTGGAATCGTTTCCTTGCCGGGAATCCTCTTAACCAGAATGTGTGGGATCAAACCTGGCGCGTTCTCCGTGTGAAGCACACACTGTGCCACTGAGCGAAGGCTCTGTGTGTGCGTTTCACATGCGCCCACCTTTTATTGCTGTCATACCTGAAGTGGGTGCTAGACGGAGCTTGGGAAGCCAGGAATTGCTTTTGGGAATCTTACTCTGTCTAGGAGGCGGGGAGTGGGAGGAGGGGGGGGGGTTGGAGTCTTTGAAAAGGAACTTTTTATAGATCCAATAAGCAGCAGATGTCACTTAAAGCAACGTCAAACTGCATTTGTTTTATAGTGCAGATTATTATTTTTGGTAGTTTCAAGAGCAACTTGAGAAACTGCAAGTTGCTTCTGATGTTCATCTACAGTGCAGATGAACCCATAGTTGTTGTTATTGCTGTTATTGTTGTCATTGTGCCTCCAGTGGCGCAGTGGGTTAAACCGCCTAGCTGCTGAACTTGCTGACCGAAAGAGCAGTGGTTCGAATCTGGGGAGTGGGCTGAGCTCCCGCTGTTAGCCCCAGCTTCTGCCGACCTAGCAGACCCAGGTTCATCTGCACTGTAGATGAACATCAGAAGCAAATTGCAGTTTCTCAAGTTGCTCCTGAAACGACAAAAAAAAATCTGGCGCAGTAGGTTAAACCGCTTAYCTGCTGAACTTGCTGACCGAAAGATCGGTGGTTCGAATCTGGGGAGTGGGCTGAGCTCCCYCTGTTAGCCCCAGCTTCTGCCGACCTAGCAGACCCAGGTTCATCTGCACTGTAGATGAACATCAGAAGCAACTTGCTCTGATGGGTCTTTCAAGTTGCTCCTGAAAGACCCAAAAAAAAATCTGCGCTATAAAACAAATGCAGTTTGATGTCACTTTAAGTGACATGCAAATGTGAGTACGTAGATCAATCGGTACTGCTCCATGCAGTCATGCTGGCCACATGACCTTGGAGGTGTCTAAGGACAACACCAGCTCTTCAGTTTAGAAATGGAGATGAGCACCATCCACCAGAGTTGGGCATGACTAGACTTAATGTCAAAGGGAAAACCTTTAGAATAATAGAGTTGGAAGAGACCACATGGGCCATCTAGTCCAAACCTTTGCCATGCAGGAAAAGCACAATCATCAGGCCTGGCAGGACTCTGGAGCGGTTTTTTTGTGGGGGGGGGGGGGGGGGGGGGGGGGGAGATCCCTTTTTAATCTTGGGTTAAGAAGCTTCATTATCATCGCTCTGGATCTTTATTACGCTTTGTTTTCCTTGCCAGGTTGTGACTCGGCTGATCCATTTGCTGGGCGAGAAGATCCTTGGCAGCCTTCAGCAAGGAGGTAGGACGTTCCATTCTTGGACGCATTCTTTCCCTTTTATCCTCGTCTGTTCCAACGGGCCAAATTGTATCTCAGGCGAAGCTGCAGAACCGTCGGTTTCCTCCAAAGCGATTAAATGGAGTGCGTCTGTTTTGGATGGAGTGCTCTCCGCTTTGGCTGAAAGGCTTCCTCCGCAGCCCTCTCCCCCAATGTCCTTGCCTATAGCAAGCCAGGCTTTCATTGTCTCGAAGCCTGTACTGAAGCAAAGCGGGCCACGATCCCTAATATTTGGCCAAACCGTATGCTCACTCGCCTCCAAACACATCAGGATGGAGAGAGAGAGAGAGGCCAGGACTTTCTAACTGGGCAGACTTGGGGGTCGCACGCCCGGTGATGGAAGGAAGGAAGGGAAGGAGAAAGGAAAGAGTGAAGGAAGGAATTATGAAAGGGAAGAAGGGAAGGAGAAAGGAAAGAGAGAAGGAAGGAATTATGAAAGGGAAGAAGGGAAGGAGAAAGGAAAGATGAAGGAAGGAATTATGAAAGGGAAGAAGGGAAGGAGAAAGGAAAGGGAGAAGGAAGGAATGGCGAAAGGGAGGAAGGGAAGGAGAAAGGAAATAGAGAAGGAAGGAATGACGAAAGGGAGGAAGAGAAGGAGGAAGGAAGGACAAAAGGGAGGAAGGGAAGGAGAAAGGAAAGAGAGAAGGAAGGAATGACGAAAGGGAGGAAGGGAAGGAGGAAGGAATCACGAAAGGGAGGAAGGGAAGGAGAAAGGAAAGAGAAGGAAGAAATTACGAAAGGGAGGAAGGGAAGGATGGACGAAGAAAGAAGGAAGAGGGAGGAAAGGGGGAAGGAAGGATGAAACCTGCGCGATCCGTTCAATCTTCTCTCGCTCCCGCCTCCGCCACAAGCGTGTCTTGTGGAGACGAGGGAGAGGGCCTTCTCCGTGGTGGCCCCTCGGCTCTGAAACTCGCTCCCCAGGGTGATTAGGCAAGCACTCACCCTGGCAGCCTTTAAAAGCTTGGCTGAGTCGCATGCCGCCCTGAGTTGCCATTGGGCTGATATGGGCAGGATAGAAATAATAATGTAAATAAATAATAAAGTAATTTTTCCAGTGTGCTTTTATTATTTTTATTTTATTATTTTTATTACTTATTTATTTAAAACTTTTAATGGGAACAATGCCTCGCTTTCTTTGCAACAGCTCACCCACTTGGGTTGCACACGCCGAGCAGCAAATGGGACGCCAGCAACCCGGCCAGCAACCTCTCCACCGTGGCCATCATGCCCGTTTCGGAAGACGTGCCTTTGGCCACTTTCACCTTGGAGCTCAAGCACGCCCTCTGCGCGATTGGTAAGCACTCTGTGAGGGATATGAGTGGAAGGGGAAGAACACAGGCATGGCTGGAGCCTTTGAACGCAAAGCAAGATTGCTGCCTCAAATGGGAAACTTGAGCCAGGTTTCAAAACACTCTCTGTTCTGTTCTCACCTGGTTTCTTGTCGACTTACGGTGATCCTACCATGTCATTGTATGCGGCCTTCCAGATGCTGGTCTGCAACCCCTGTGTTTCCCATCGTGGTCAACTGTGAATTGCCCATATGGTTATTCCTATGCCTGCACAGAGTAGCTTTGGAACCTTCTAGCAAATTGTCCACATGCTTGCCCACATGCTTGTGGATTTCAATGGCTTCTCTGTGTAGTCTGACATGGTGGTTGTGAGAGGGGTCCAGCATTTCTATGTTCTCGAATAAAATGCTGTGTCCAGGTTGGTTCATCAGGTGCTCTGCAATGGCTGACTTCTCTGGTTGAAGGAGTCTGCAGTGCCTTTCATGTCCCTTGATTCGTGTGTTGGGCAATGCTGCTGCATTTGGTGGTCCCTATGTAGACTTGTCCACAGCTGCATGGTACACAGTAGACTCCTGCAGAGGTGAGAGGATCCCTCTTGTCCTTTGCTGAATGGAGCATTTGTTGGATTTTCTTGGTGGGTCTGTAGATAGTTTGTATGTTGTGTTTCCTCATCAGCTTCCCTATGCGGTCAGTGGTTCCCTTGATGTATGGCAAGAACACTTTTTCTCTACACAGAGAAGCCATTGAGGTACACAAGCATGTGGACAATTTCAACAGGAAGGAGGAAACCATGGAAATGAACAAAATCTGGCTACCAGTATTTAAAAAACTCTAAAATTACAACAACAGAGAGGAAACAAACAAGGACATCTAATCACCTCTCAACAAAAGATTGCTCCAGGCACTGTCAGGCCATTATATGCTAATCAAGGTGGTCAGTTGAAACATTCACACCTAGCTCCAGCAGACAAGAGTCCTTTGTCCCACCCTGGTCATTCCACAGATATATAAACCCTTTTTCCTAGTTCCAACAGACCTCACTACATTTGAGGATGCTTGCCATAGCTGCAGGCGAAATGTCAGGAGAGAATGCCTCTAGAACATGGCCATATAGCCCGAAAAAACCTACAAAAACCCATGCTCATTGATTGTAGGTAAACTATAAATCCCAGCAACTACAACTCCCAAATGACAATATCATTTTTTTGAGTGAAGGACATACATTGGGTTGTTAGGTATATGCTGTCTAAATTTGGTGTCAATTCGTCCAGTGTTTTTAGAGTTATGTTAATCCCGCAAACGAACATTACATTTTTATTTATATAGATATATCTCTTTGACTTTTCTGTAAGCACATTTTTGTCAGAAGCCACCATAGTCATGGCATAAGTAAATGCAACATAGCCATAATGTGACCTTATGAAGGGGGGCCAATGGCCAGGATCCAATTATGATGATGCAGTGCAATATGTCCTGTGTGTCCCACATTGTATTTTCCTGCATGGCAAGGGGTTCTATAGGATGGGCCTTGTGGTCTCTTCCAACTCTACAATTCTAATAACCATATCATCACCATCCACCCATGGATGGCCCATCTTTTGCACACAATGCAAAGGTCTCGGTGGCAGGGCAAAGAAGCCAGCAGCTCTCTCCAAAGGATTTCCAGCCAAAGGCCCAAATATAAATTTTGAAAGGCTTCAAAGGGGAAGGATTTAACCTTGCTGTTCTCGCTCCCCGTCTTTCTGCTTCTGGATGTAAGCTGTGAAACGCAACGAGAGAAAGAGAGAGCGATGGGAACCGTCTCAGCAACCGACCCCAACCGCACCGTGTAGGTGCTTTCGTCTCGCAGCCTTTCAAGGACGTGGAAGGCTTCCACCTTTCCCTGCCTCCCCTTCGCCCACACCACACTTCAGTCCGCACTGGGATGAGTCACCGCAACGACAGAGAACGGAGGCATGTGCCGCTCACACGCTTGGCTTGCCGTGTGCCGTTGCTTTTGAGGCTCATTAGGAGGAAGCCCTCGGCTCCCAGCTTTGCCGGGAAGTTCAGATCCCCGTCTTAATACATTCATAAATGGAAAAAGAGTGGTCGATGGAAAGTTGACCGCTCTAGGGGATTTCTTGCCCAAAGAGGAGCTTTATTTTCCCCCCACCACCCCTTTTAAAATTATGCAAGATCTATAATAATAATAATAATAATAATAATAATAATAATAATAATAATAGGCAAGTGCCGACAACAGAAGAGATTTTAAATGCTCTGTTTTGCGATTCGGTATAATTAAATCTCTTCTCTAATAATGACACTGTATTTTAAACAGATGGTGGGGACACTGTAGAACAAATGTAGTGTGACACCACTTAATTGTCATGGCGTGGGACAATGGGAGTTGTAGTTTTGTAAGTCCTTTATACTCCTCTGTCAGTGTTGGGTGACCATCTGTCGGGATGGCTTGATTGTGTATTTCTGCCTGGCAGAAGCAGGTTGGACTGGATGGCCCCTGGGTGTCCCTTTCAGTGCTATATTTCAATGATGTTTTCAGATGGAAACGTTGAAGATGAAATGGGTGGTGATGGAGTCTCCATCTTTGGAGGTTTTGAAACAGAGGCTGAATGGCCATCTGTCGGGAGGGCTTAGATTGTGTATTCCTCCATTACTGGGGTTGGACTGGATGGCTCTGTGGGTGTCCCTTTCAGTGCTGTGCTTCAATGATGTTTCAAGATGGCAACACTGAAGATGCAATGGGTGGTGATAGAGTCTCCATCTTTGGAGGCTTTGAAACAGAGGCTGAATGTCCATCTGTCAGGAGGGTCTGGATTGTGTATTCCTGCGTGGCAAGAGGTTGGACTGGATGGCCCTTGGGTGTCCCTTTCAAATCTATGCTTCTTTGATATTTCAAGATGGAAGCATTGGAAGATGCAATGGGTGGTGATGGAGTCTCCATCTTTGGAGGCTTTGAAACAGAGGCTGAATGGCCATCTGTTGGGAGGGTTAGATTGTATATTCCTCCATTAATGGGGTTGGACTGGATGGCCATTGGGTGTCCCTTTCAGCTCTATGCTTTGATGATGTTTCAAGATGGAAGCATTGGAAGACACAATGGGTGGTGATGGAGTCTCCATCTTTGGAGGCTTTGAAAGAGAGGCTGAATGGCCATCTGTCGGAAGGGCTTAGATTGCGTATTCCTCCATTAATGAGGTTGGATGGGATGGCCCTTGAGTGTCCCTTTCAACTCTATGCTTCAATGGTGTTTCAAGATGGAAACGTTGAAGATGCAATGGGTGGTGATGGTACCTTCTGGTTGACCATGGAGAGGAAACAGGTTGCTGGGATTGGACAGAGTTTTTGGTCTCATCCAAAGTCAGAGAGCATATTTTATTTTGGGACTGTATCACACTGAATCCCCTATCCGCGAGCTCTTCCATTTGGGAATCATAGTCTGACTCAAGAGGTCTCTTCCCACATTCATGTCACATCCAGGCTATGTGTCTCCCTAAGACAATGCTCCATCGGCCCACATCTGTGCCGCGAAATAAGTCTGGGCCTTGCGGGCTTGTACGAACTCCACTTCTGACTCATGCCTCCCTCCTCGGAGAGACGTCATCTGACTCTGACAACAGGCCCTTCTGCACACATCGCTGCCTGTAACACAAAACTCGGGGAGACAAACGCAAAGCCACACCAGTCCATTAGACAAAGCCGCTTTTCCTCAAAGCTCGGCAGCGTGGCTCGCAGCCGTTTGACAAGCACCAGCGGGGGACTGCTGGTTCTTTGTGGCCGCAGAGTACACAAAACGGGAACGGTCAAAAGGCCAGGGACTGCAGCACGACTGGGCCTTCTAGCAGATAGCCATATGAGAAGGAAAAGGGAAAATCAAATTGTGCTGGAGGTACAGATGGAGGGCAAGACTCCACATTGGTGGTTTTGACTTTGGCAAATTTCTATTAATCATGGGTATGATTCAAAACATGGAGCCCCCGGTGGCGCAGTTAGTTAAAAGCGCTGAGCTGCTGAGCTTGTTGACCGAAAGGTTGCAGGTTCGAATCCGGGGAGCAGCATGAGCTTCCGCTGTCAGCCCCAGCTTCTGCCAACCTAGCAGTTTGAAAACATACAAATGTGAGTAGATTAATAGGTACCGCTCCGGCAGGAAGGTAACGGCACTCCATACAGTCGGCACTCCACAGGACATTGGAGGTGGCTTCTTTGGCTTAGAAATGGAGATGAGCACCACATCCTAGAGTTGGACACGACTAAACTTCATGTCAGGGGGAAACCTTGACCTATGATTCAAAACATTCTCTCTAGGACTCTCTAGGTCTTGGAGTGTGACTCTGCGCCCTCCTCCCTCAATCACAGAATCCTGGAATAATTGCGTTGGAAGAGACCGCATGGGCCATCTAGTCCAACCCCCTGCCATGCAGGAAAAGCACAAAGTATCCCTGACAGAGGATCCCCCAGTGGCGCACTGGGTAAAACCGCTGAGCTGCTGAACTTGCTGATCTAAAGGTCGCAGGTTGGAATCCGGGGAGCTGTGTGAGCTCCCACTGTTAGCTCCAGCTTCTGCCAACCTAGCAGTTTGAAAACATGCAAATGTGAGTAGATCAATAGGTACCAACCCCCAGTTGTGTCTGACTCTAGGTTGATGCTCATCTCCATTTTTAAACCAAAGAGCCGGCATTGTCCATAGACACCTCCAAGGTCATGTGGCTGGCATGACTGCATGGAGTGCCATTAGAAATGGAGATGACCACCAATCCCCAGCCGTGTCTGACTCTGGGGTTGGTGCTCATCTCCATTTCTAAGCCAAAGAGCCGGCGTTGTCCATAGACACCTCCAAGGTCATGTGGCCACTGGCATGACTGCATGGAATGCCTTCCCTTCCCACTAGAGCAGTACCTATTGATCTACTCACATTTGAATGTTTTTGAACTACTTGGTTGGCAGAAGCTGGGGCTGACAGCGGGAGCTCACGCCACTCCCCCGATTTGAACCTGTGACTTTTTGGTCAGCAAGTTCAGCAGCTCAGCGGTTTAAGCCACTGCACCACTGTGGGATCCTCCGCCGGGAAGTAGGAGCCAATAATGAAAGGACCAAGGCAGTGAAATCTCCAGCCCATCCTCTGTTCGGATATCAGCCAGCATGCCAACACCTTAAATCAACAACAAACAAACAAACAACAATTTTATTATGGTCCATAGACCCATCAGTAAAGCCAACAGTCATTATAAATTCTCCCATCTCAGGAGAGGTCCATTGTACAAAATACATCTACAGTTTTCTAAGATCTACAGGAACACCTCAGCAAGCAAGAGTCCAAAAGTGGCAGGCAAAAACCGAGAACCTCAATCTGTGGCTGAGACTGGATGAGAAGTTCCCTCTTGGGCACACAGAAGGCGCTGAACAGGCTGCGCTCTGGCACCACAAGAAGCAGAGCCAACCTTAATAAATGGGGCTACCAAGTGGAGTCCACAACATGCGAGTGCTGAGAAGGGCAAACCACAGAGCATTGACTACAATGCAGCCTGAGCCCTGCCACATGCACAACAAAGGACCTTTTTACAGCGACACCAGAAGCACTCCAAGTGGCCAGCTACGGGTCAAAGGGCATTTAGTATCATGCCAAGTTTTTAAACTTTGTGTTTTTAAATACATTGCAACTGTACTCTTGGTTTGCTTTTGATATGATAAATAAAAATAAATAAATAACCCAGTCCTGGCAGGGTTTGTATTTCACATTTTGCTAGAGTTGAGGCACTTCTGTCAATATTGCCCGTGACATTTCCCCTCCTCTGGCGTGACATTCATTGTTTGCTTTCCCTCTCTTTCTCCTTTCTCTCAGTATGCTTCCCCCATAATTCGATGTGCCGTTCTTTTGGAGCGAGAACTTGGGCTCTTTGGTGGCATTTTTAGCCGCAAATAAAAACAAGGGCCAAGGGCCAGCAAAGCCGCTTTGCGCATAAACAAAAGCTGTTTCTTCCCATGCCGAGAGAGCTGCGAATGTTCAAAAGGAAAAGGAAAATACATCTCAAAAGCCGCAAAGGACCACAAGCCAAGGGCAATGCTTCTTACATCTGTTGCAAGTTTATGGGGGCGAGCAAAGAAGCCAGGCTTGGAAATAGCCGCTTGCCTGGGGTGAGTTCGAATTGTCTCCAGGCAACCAGCATAAAGGGGAATGGATGTAAATTGGCAGAGGTGTTTTCCCCCTCTTTTTATTTTGTGTGCTGCAAAAGTATAAGTCAATACTGGAATCATAACAATTTTTGCAAAGTGCATACAGAGAAAAGAACTCTTAAATCTGCATTGTCAAAGGCTTTCATGGCTGGAATCACTGGGTTGCTGTGAGTTTTCCGGGCTATATGGCCATGTCCCAGAAGCATTCTCTCCTGACTTTTCACCTGCATCTGTGCCTGCCATATATTTGTGGTAGTGGGAGCCTGTCTGTGTAAGTGGACACCCCAGCCATATACACACCTACATATTTTCACTTTTGTTATGTGTATAGATTATTCTATGATTTGTGAGCCTCTCTATAATATGTATCATTGATATTTTGATAACCACCTTTTTGTCAAAAGCCACCATGGTAGTGGCACAAATAAATGCAACATAGGCTGGATGGGCATCTGTTGGGGGTGCTTTGATTGTTCTTTTCCTGCATGGCAGAGGGTTGGACTACATGGCCCATGTGGTCTCTTGCAACTCTATTACCATTATTATTATTATGACTGGATGGCCATCTGTCAGGGGTGCTTTGATTGTGCTTTTCCTGCATGGCAGGGGGTTGGACTAGATGGCCCATGTGGTCTCTTCCAACTCTATTATCATTATTATTATTATTATTATTATTATTATTATTATTATTATTATGACTTGATAGCCATCTGTCGGGTGCTTTGAGTGTGCTTTTCCAGCATGGCAGGGGGTTGGACTAGATGGCCCATGTAGTCTCTTGCAACTCTATTATCATTATCATTATTATTATGACTGGATGGCTATCTGTCAGGAGTGCTTTGACTGTGATTTTCCTGCATGGCAGGGGGTTGGACTAGATGGCCCTTGTGGTCTCTTCCAACTCTTATTATTCTATGATTCTTGGACACAGGGTTATTCCAAGTGAGGACTGGTCAAAGCAAAACAGAGTGAGACTCTGATTTCCCTTGATCTGGACACTATTGATGGTGGAAGTATGGACATCTTTCCTTAGTCATGATCTTTTTCTTCTAGGCCCCACTCTGCTGCTCACCAGCGACAACATCAAGCAGCAACTTGGCTCTGCGGCTTTGGACAGGTAGGTAAGGCAACCCGTGCCCTTTGGGGACAGCTTTTGAAGAAGCCTCTAACCCAGGCATGGTCGAACTTTGGCCCTCCATCCAAGTGTTTTGGACTGCAACTCCCACAATTCCTAACAGCCAATTTCATTGCTCTCTGTCCACAGGAAGTGCATCAGGGGACATCTCTCATGAACGCCCCTCGTATATTTATACACTTCTACATATGCATATGCACATACTTGCCAATAAAGTGAGCAAAAATATTTTTAAAAGCCCTAGAAACCTTCATTTCCCGTAGGCTCGTCAAGCCCCTGAAATACTCGGCAAGCTGTCAGATTAATTAGCCCTGCTTTTGAATGAGTGGATATATTTTCTGAAAAGTTGTCATGCGGCGTCTGATGAACGGCTGGGAGCCTTACATCCGGTTCTCAGCAGAAACCCTGGAGAAAGGGATGGGCAGAGGAAGCTGGTGGGGGAACCCAAAGTGGAAGCGGCCACTCCACTTTGGACCCAAAACGAAGTCATGGCACTCTCTTCCAAGGCTTTTTATGGGGTTCACATGCTGAACAATGCCTTTGGGAATATATTTTGGGGCTACGATTTTTCGTCTCTTGGGGACCTCGCACACTCAGGAACAGATCCCCATACTGTGCATGCAATACATTTTGCCCTAAGTCAAAGCATGTATGTATGTTTATCTGTCTGAATCACAAAGGCTGTTGTTAGGTGTTAGGAACTGGAGAAGGGAGAAAGTAGCCTTTCTCGAAGCTGGAGAACGTAGACCCTCTCAAAACTGGCGAAGGGAGAACCTATACCCCCTCAAAGCTGAAGAAGAGAGAAAGTAGACCTTCTCAGAGCTGGAGAAGGAAGAATGTAGACCCTCTCAAAGCTGGAGAAGGGAGAAAATAGACCCTCTCAAAACTAGAGAACGTAGACCCTCTTAAAGCTGGAAAAGGGAGAATCTATACCCTCTCAAAGCTGGAGAATGTAGACCCTCTTAAAACTGGAAAAGGGAGAATCTATACCCTCTCAAAGCTAGAGAAGGGAGAAAGTAGCCCTTCTCAAATCTGGAGAACTTAGACCCTCTTAAAACTGGAAAAGGGAAAATCTATACCCTCTCAAAGCTGGAGAAGGGAGAAAGTAGACCCTCTAAAAGCTAGAGAAGGGAGAAAGTAGGTGGGCAGCAGTCCCAATGACACCCAAGCAACTAAATGTGTGTATGTGTGTGTGTGTGTGTATACACGTGTACCCACACACATGCATACATGTAAGCATGCACACACACACACTAGTTGTTAATGTTAAATATGTTGTATTGTATTTTTATGGTGCTGAATTTTAATATGGAAGCTCTATATGCCCATCATTTTATGTAGTCCTTGTATATTGTGTTGGATGTGTTAACGGAAGTGTTAATAAAACTTGCTATCTGTGCCTCTTGCTTATGGCAAGCCTCATGTTCCTGCCTTTCGCCTTCCTCCCATCAGCATCCATGAGTACCGGCTCTCCAGCTGGTTGGGCCAGCAAGAGGACATGCACCGCATTGTGCTCTACCAGTCGGACAGCACCCTGACCCCCTGGACCCAGCGCTGCATCCGCCAGGCCGACTGCATCTTGATCGTTGGCCTGGGAGAACAGGAGCCGACCGTCGGAGAGGTGAGCCCTTTCTAAAGACCCTGGAATCAAGGTTGCACCCAAACATGTATGAGGATAACTTTAGCCCATCCATATACTCCGAGAAATAAGTGACCGAGCTTTTACCCAACTAAATATCCTGCTGCCTACATGCACTGGGAGTTGTAGTTCACCCAATCAGGTTGGAGTAGTGCAGTGCTGTGCTTTTTGCTATCTCTGTGTGGCTTCAGATTTGCAGGTTGCAACGTTGGGACTTTTCTGCACGTGGAATGTTTACAGAGATGTGCCCTGTCTCTATAATCCGTGTGTGCTCTCTCTTATACTGAGCAAACCCATCTATCTATCTATCTATCTATCTATCTATCTATCTATCTATCTATCTATCTATCTATCTATCTATCTATCTATCTATCTATCCCATTAGCCATGCAGAATTTCAGAAAAGAGTGACCCCACCATCCCTTGCTGGGGATTCTGGGATCTTTTCTTCTTCAAATCCCATGTCTGAAGGGAAAAGATTTGAGAGAGAAAGAGAAGGAAGCTTTGTGTTTTGTGGGCTGCTGTTCATGTTCGCCATAACCGGCTTACCGTGGCTCCGTAAGCAAGTCAACTTTCTGCCTGCCGAGCTTATCGGCTTTTGTGCTGCGGTTGGTGGCCCAGATTAAATTGCAGGCACTGGATTGTCTTGGAGGAGAATTGGGCCGGAGCATGTAAGCCTCTTTTGGCCTCGGGATTTGGAGATCAGCTTTGCCGTTGGCTTTTCTTCTGAGATTCCCCAGGTCAAAAGGGGATGTAAGTGGGAAGGCGCAACCCAAGCGCTTGGAAGAACATGGGCATTCCTTATTTGTGAATGCAAATACAGCACCGTGTGAAATACCAAAGTTCAAAGCACCCACATTAGGAAACCAGAGTGGAAATTCTTAGAAATACCCCTCTTGTAATGAGTCGTTGTATTATCTCCCCAGGCAAATCTAATACATTTCCATACAAGAAAATACTCTCAAAATTAGATTTCACTATACTTTCCTTTCTTTCCCATTTCTTACTTCATTCTTTCCTTCCCTTCCTTCTTTTCTTTTCTTTTCTTTTCTTTCTTCCCTTCCTTCCTTCCTTCCTTCCTTCCTTTCTCCTTTCCTTCTTTCCTTCCTGTTTTCTTTCCTTTCCTTTCTTCTGTCCTTCTTTCCTTGGCTTCCTTCCCTCCTTCCTTCCTTCCTTATTTTCTTCTTTCCTTTCCTTTCCATTCCATTCCATTCCGTTTTTCTTTCTTTTCTTTTCTTTTCTTTTTCCGTTCCCTTCCCCTCCCCCTTCCCCTTCCTTCCCTCACTCCCTCCTTCCTTCTTTTATTCTTTCCTTCTTTCCTTCCTGTTTTTCTTCTTTCGTTCCTTTCCTTCCTTCTGTCCTTCTTTCCTTTTCTTCCTTCCTTCCCTCCTTCCCTCCTTCCTCCCTTCTTTTCTTCTTTCCTTCCTCCTTTCCTTCTTTCCTTCCTTCTTTCCTTCCTGTTTTCCTCCTTTCTTTTCCTTTCCTTTTCCTTTTTCCTTTCCTTCTCTCCTTTCCTTTCCGTTCCTTTCCTTCTTTCTTTCTTTCCTTTCCCTTCCCTTCCCCTTCCTTCTTTTCTTCTTTACTCCCTTCTTTCCTTCTTAATTTCCTTCTTTCCGTTCCTTTCCTTTCCTTTTTTCCTTTCCTTTCCTTCCTTCTGTCCTTCTTTCCTTTCCTTCTTTCCTTCCTTCTTTTGTTCTCTCCTTCCTTCTTCCTTCTCTCCTTCCTTCTCTCCTTTGCTTCTCTCATTCCTTCTCTCCTTTCCTTCTTTTCTTCTTTCCTTCCTTCCTTCCTTCCTTCTTTCCTTCTTTCCTTCCTTTCCTTCATTCCCTATATTACCCAAGCATTCTGTATCCTAATCACGACTGACTTCCAGACCTGCCATCCTGGCTGGTTCCCTTTCCCTTCCAGCTGGAGCGGATGCTGGAGAACACAGCGGTCCGAGCCCAGAAGCAGCTGATTCTGTTACACAGAGAAGATGGACCTCTTCCTTGCCGGACCGTGGAATGGCTCAACATGAGGAGCTGGTGCTCGGCTCACCTTCACCTCCGCTGCCCTCGGCGCGTCTTCTCCCGGCGGAGCCTCCCCAAACTGGTAAGAGGCTCCATGAGGCTGGGTGCCCGGGCTGTCGTAAGGGCCTATTCGGGCCCTGCTAATTCCAAGTTAAATGTTCCCAAATTTGGTTGCTTGTCTTTAGTATATGTAAGGGGTTTTTTCATGCATGATCTAGACTCGTATCAGTATCCTTTTCTTTCTCTCCTCCTCTCTCTTAATAGAAAGAACTATATGAACGCGTGTTTCAGAAGCCTCCAGATAGACACTCAGACTTTTCCCGGCTGGCCCGCGTATTGACAGGGAACGCCGTTGCGTTGGTGCTTGGCGGAGGTGGAGCTCGGTAAGGCCGAAGAAGTGCTTTGAGATACATTATTATTATTATTATTATTATTATTATTATTATTATTATTATTTGATATTCAACAAGATGAGAACACAGCAATCAAGATCGGGTGGCCTTTTGCAGCTGATTGCAAAAGGGGATTGTTTTTAAGTACAGGCCAAGGTCTTTAGGCACTGCACCCAGTGTGCCGATCACTACTGGGACCACCTTGACTGGCTTGTGCCAGAGTCTTTGCAATTCAATCTTTAAATCCTCCTATATTTTGTTGATGATGATGATGATGACTCCTGACCTCACAATCATGGAAAAAAACAAAGTTTGTAGGTCTTCTTCTGAATGTGCACAGACTACATTATCATCGTCATATTGCATTTCTGTAACAGATGTTTTTGTGACATTGGTTTTATAGTGGGATGGGCTGATGGCTGTTGGAAGAGTATTTTGGTTTTCTTGATTTTCAGTGAAAGACCAAGCTTCTCATATGTTTCTGAAAAGGCATTTATGGTGGCTTGTAGGTCTTCTTCTGAATACACACAGACTATGTTATTATCAGCATATTGGAGTTCTATAACAGATGTTGTTGTGACCTTGGTTTTGGATTGGCTGGTAACTGCTGAAAGAGCACTTTGTTTTTTTTTATGTTCAATGAGAGGCCAAACTTCTCGTATGCCTCTGCAAAGGTGTTTAGCAGGACTTGTAGGTCTTCTTCTGAATGTGCACATGTTATCATTGGCATATTGTAGTTCTATAACAGATGTTGTTGTGACCTTGCTTTTGTAGAGGGATTGGCTGGTGCCTGCTGGAAGACCACTTTGGTTTTCTCGATGTTCAATGAAAGGCCAAGCTTCTCATATGCTTCTGCAAAGGTGTTTAGCATGGCTTCTAGGTCTTCTTCTGAATGTGCACAGACTATGTTATCATCGGCATATTGGAGTTCTATAACACACATGGCTGCATTAGCAGCTCCAATTGGGCCCAGGTTTGACACTTGGACACTAGGTCCAGCTTATTCTTTATCCGTGTCTCTAGGGCTTTAATTCAAACTCTGAAAAATATTTCTAGAGAATCAGGTCTTGGTTGCATCTTTTCTGGAACAAGACGCACATTCCTTCCTCCGATCCCAGAATTGCACATTTCTTTCTGTTCTCGCACCCTCCGTTTTCAACCATTTGGAAACAATCGGGTGCCAAAATGTTGTTTCCTTTGCATCTTCTTAGATTCTTGAAATCAAGCTCAGGTTAGTGTTCATTTCAGAATTCTGGAACCGGAACGGAGTCCTCAAAAAACTGCCTTGGGTGTTGCTATATTCGCAGGATGAGTTGGGTTGGATGCCATCGACACAAATGAACGGAAAGCCAACCTTGGAATTTTCTTGTCTCCTGTGCCTTTTCGCAAGGGTAATTAGTCCCTCGGGCTCCTTGCCGATTGTTCCGGGGTTTGGGAGAGAAGCCATAAGTTGGAAATCGCCCACACGTTGTTCCAACCCAGAGGGCTTTTGTGCCTCCCCTCCTTTTGTTAACACTCTAAATATCCTATTTTCCCTTTATTTTTCCAAGCTGACAAGGGAGTGGTGAGGGGGTGGCCTGGAGAAACCAACCTGGGCAAACGTCAGCGTTACAAGGAGGCAATTGTCTTGCCGCTCTGAAAGGCAATATTTATAGAATCATAGAATAATAGAGTTGGAAGAGACTGCATGGGACATCTAGTTCAACCTCCTGACATGCAGGAAAAACACAAAGTACCCCTGACAGAAGAAGCCCTCGGTGGCACAGTTGGTTAAACCGCTGAGCTGCTGAACTTGCTAACCGAAATGTTGCAGGTTCGAATCTGGGGAGCAGCGTGAGCTGCCGCTGTTAGCCCCAGCTTCTGCCAACCTAGCAGTTCGAAAACATGCAAATGTGAGTACCTCTCCAGCAGGAAGGTAACAGCGCTCCATGCAGTCATACTGGCCTCATAACCTTGGAGGTGTCTACGGACAATGCCGGCTATAGAGAAATGCTATTATAAATCACGCCGCTTGTCACCACTGTAATAAAGTATGTATAATATCACACCACTGGACACCAGTATACGCCAGTATAAAGGATTCTATCACAGCCAGTGACACGAGGCTGGAGGTTATTAGTTCTTAGTCTGGGCAGGATGGATCTTCCCCAAAGATTTTCCTTTTCTTCAAAAATCCCACCCCTGTGCCTCCAATATGGTAGCGAGATGATGTTAGATATGTGTATTGGTAGGGTGATCACTGCTTGTCTGAAAACTTCTTTTAAAGTAAAGCTGCCACCAACCTAAGTTGTCTTAGGATTTCTAAAAAAGTATTTGAGGCAAACTTTTCCCACTCCTGCCAACACTGCTTTTTCCCCTGGCTCCCAAATTGACTGTTTGATAAGAGGCTTTTCAGTACTGAGATGTTCAAAATGCTGGAATTATCACCAAGGTTTGTTGATGGAAAGATGTACAATGGAGACTTTTTTGAGAGTTAAATAGAAAAAGATTTATTTATAAAAACAAACAACTAACTACTTCTGAGAGGTACAAAAAGCTTGACTTGTTACAAAAGTACTTCAGCTTGATTGTTGCTTGAATAAGTTTCTTCACTTAGTTACAGACAGAGCTAACCAAACGGTTTCTGACTGAATGGCAACAAAAACCCTCATTCTACTTCAGAGAAATAGTAATGAGTTCTGACTAACCTATCCCAGGCAGTCCCCTGGGTTATTAGCTAACTCTTCCCTAGAGTTCTTGTGCTAACTCCCACAAGAAATCAGGTTGCTGTCCGACCTTTTTCCTGTCAGCTCACAGCACTGTCCGACACAGACACTCTCTCCCTGGGGAGGCCCTGCTCTCGGTCCTGCCACAATCAGGGCTGGCGGGGACGACAGACAGGGCCTTCTCAGTGGTGGCCCCTCAGCTATGGAACGCCCTTCCTATGGAGATCAGATCGGCTTCTTTGCTTCTAGCATTTCGGAAAAAACTTAAGACATGGCTATTCGAGCAGGCATTTGCGAATACTGAGTAACGGGCATAAGAACAGAACAACTACACGATGGGACTGGACATTATTCTAATGAGTATTTATTGAATTATGTTTTATTACAGCTGTTATGATTTTATTGACGTTAAAGTTTTTATATTGTAATTGTGTTTTTGGTGGCATTGAATTTTGCCTTGTAAACCACCTCGAGTCGCCGGAAGGCTGAGAGGGGCGGGATACAAATACAGCAAGTAAATAAATAAATCCCAGCAACTACAACTCCCAAATGTCAAGATCTATTTTCCCCAAACTCCACCAGTGTTCACATTTGGGCATATTGAGTATTCATGCCAGGTTGGTCCAGGGGTTCCGACCCCCAGGTTGAGTCAACCCCCAGGTTGACTTAGTGGTAAGAGCTCTTTGACGGTGGAATATGCTGCCTTGGAGTCTGGTGCAGTCTCCTTCTCTTGAGGTTTGGATAACCATCAGTCGGGAGTGTTTTGATTGTGTTTTCCTGCCTGGCAGAATGGCTGTACTGTTTGGTTCTTGGGGTCTCTAGGATCCTATGTATCTAAGGTTGTTTTGGGCTCTGAGCATGAACAACTGTGATTTTTTATTTCATGCACAACCTCTCCTCTTTCTGTGCCAAGGCACATCCTCGACTGTCTCCAGGAAAAAAACAACTGTATTGTGTTCCCGAAACAAGCATCTCAGATAACAATTAGGTTGTGAGCCCCCCTTTTCCCTCCCCCAAAAAGAAAACCTCCCAAGCACTTCATGGCAATTATCCTTTTGCCGTTTGTCACCAGCAGACAAGAGAACAGAAACGGTACGGCACGCTCCCTTCCCTCGAGTCTCCACAATGCCAGGATCTCAAATTACAGCGTTTCCACCTCCAGAAGAGTGGCTTCTCCCGGAGAGGAGACGGATTTGGGTTCCTAGCCAAACAGCACATCCCTGCTATGGATCTCTTTTGTGTTGGTCTGGCTAGGGAATGAGAGGCATGCGGAGCTTAGCCAAGCTTCGGCCAGAGGCCATTGGAGCCCAAGGCTTTTTGTTGGCACAGGACAACAAACACTAAACATTAGGAAGAGCTTCCTAGAGCTGTTCAACAGCTCTGACTGACTGTGAGTGCTGTTCAGCAGTGGAACTCTCTGCCCCGGAGTGTAGTGCAGGCTCCTTCTTTGCTGGCTTTTAAGCAGAGGCTGGATGGCCACCTGTCAGGGGTGCTTTGAATGCGATTTTCCTGCTTCTTGGCAGAAAGGGGTTGGACTGGACAACCCATGAGGTCTCTTCCAACTGTATGATTCTATGTTCAGCAGTGGAACTCTCTGCCCCAAAGTGTGGTGGAGGCTCCTTCTTTGAAGGCTTTGAAGCAGAGGCTGGATGGCCATCTGTCAGGGGTGCTTTGAATGCGATTTTCCTGCTTCTTGGCAGAAAGGGGTTGGACTGGACGGCCCACGAGGTCTCTTCCAACCCTATGATTCAATGACAGTAGAATATGTTGCCTTGGAGTCTCCACGCCCGCAAAGCTAGCTGAGCCTGGGAGATTTGGCAACAGTTACATATTCAGGTATTAGCTGTGCAGGTCTTTAAACAGAGTTTGGATGGTTATCTGTCTTCTCGGCCTTTTGGCTAAGATCAAGTGTAGTATCATCTGTCAGGAGTGCTTGGATTGGACACTTTTGGACTCTGCCTATGTTTATGAGGACAAGAGATAAGAAGCCTCCACTGTTCTCTGAAAAAGCATTTCTTCCACTTTGCTCTGCCACAGAGACCATACCTCAATCCAAAGCTTGGCAAAGTTGATTATTGCTATCATTATCATTATTATTGTGTTGTCGAAGGCTTTTACGGCTGGAATCACTGGGTTCCGGAGACTTTTTCAGGCCGTATGGTCATGTTCCAGTAGCATTCTCTCCTGACCTTTGGCCCACATCTATGGCAGGCATCCTCCGAGGTTGTGAGGTCTGTTAGAAACTAGGCAAGTGGATAGAGTTATAGTTTTCCAAGATCCATACCCTTTTCTTGGTGTATTTACAGTATGCAATGAATGCCCTTGCACCCCACTTTAAAAGCCGTGGCTTCATGCAATGGAGTCCTCCTGGGAGTTATAGTTTCCCAAGGTCCACACCCTTTTCTTGGTGTATTTACAATATGCAATGAATGCCCTTGCACCCCACTTTAAATGCCTTGGCTCCATGCGATGGAGTCCTCCTGGGAGTTATAGTTCCCCAAGGTCCATACCCTTTTCTTGGTGTATTTACAGTATGCAATGGATAAAGGCTGGATGTCAGGAAAGGTGTTGGTAATGTAAAGGGTGCAAATAAAAGTGTTGTTGATGATTATGTTGATAGTGTACCTATTTCCCTCCCACCTTTCCCTTCTTGTTCTCCTCGCATCACTCCAGCGGTTGTTCCCAAGTGGGCGTCATCCGGGCCTTGAACGAAGTGGGCATCCCGGTGGACATGATTGGCGGCACCTCCATTGGGTCCTTCATGGGGGCTCTGTATGCTGAAGAGCGCAGCTACACCCAGATGCGGATCAAGGCCAGGCAGTGGGCGATGGTGAGTATTAATGCCATGTTCCAGAAGCATTCTCTCCTGACATTTCACCCACATCTATGGCAGGCATCCTCAGAGATTGTGAGGTCTGTTGGAAACGAAGCAAGTGGGGTTTATGTGGAATAATGTTCATGGTGGAAGAAAGAACTCTTGTCTGTTTTAGGTAGGTGTGAATGTTTCAATTGACCACCTTGATTAACATTGAATAGCCTTTCAGCTTCAAGGTCTGGCTGCTTCCTGCCTGGGGGAATCCTTTGTTTTGGAGGTATTTGCTGGCCCTGATTGATTCATATCTGAAAGTCCTCTGTTTTCTGAGTGGTGTTCTCTATTTACTGTAAGCAGCCAGACCTTGAAGCTGAAAGGCTATTCAATGCAATTGAAACATTCACACTTGGTCCAGATCCATCCACAGTGCTCTCTGGATTGTAGGTGAACTACAACTCCAAAACTCAAGGTCAATGGCCACCAAACCCTGTTGGTCATGGGAGTTGCGTGTGCCAAGTTTGGTTCAAATCCCAAACGTCAAATTCTTATTTTCCCCAAACTCCACCAGTGTTCACATTTGGGCATATTGAATATTCGTGCCAAGTTTGGTCCAGATCCATCATTGTTTGAGTCCACAGTGCTCTCTGGATGTAGGTGAACTATAACTCCAAAACTCAAGGTCAATGCCCACCAGAACCTTCCAGTATTTTCTGTTAGTCATGGGAGTTCTGTGTGCCAAGTTTGGTTCAATTCTATCATTGGTGGGAATTCTCTTTGATTGCAGGTAAACTAGAAATCCCAGCAACTACAACTCCCAAATGTCAAGCTCCATTTTCTCCAAACTCCACCAGTGTTCACATTTGGGCATACTGAGTATAAGTGCCAAGTTTGGTCCATAACTGTTGAGTCCACAGTGCTCTCTGGATGTAGGTGAACTACAACTCCAAAACTCAAGGTCAATGCCCACCAGAACCTTCCAGTATTTTCTGTTGGTCATGGGAGTTCTGTGTGCCAAGTTTGGTTCAACTCCATCGTTGGTGGCGTTCAGAATGCTCTGTGATTGCAGGTGAACTAGAAATCCCAGCAACTACAACTCCCAAATGACAAAATCAATCCCACCAGTATTGAAATATGGGCGTATCGGGTATTGGGCCAAATTTGGCCCAGTGATTGAAAATCATAGAATCAAAGAGTTGGAAGAGACCTCATGGGTCATCCAGTCCAACCCCCTGCCAAGAAGCAGGAATATTGCATTCAAATCACCCCTGACACCCCTCTGTTTAAAAGCTTCCAAAGAAGGAGCCTCTACCACACTCCGGGGCAGAGAGTTCCACTGCTGAACGGCTCTCACATCCTGCATATCAGTTATTGACATGACAATTCATAACAGGAGCAAAATTGCAGTTATGGAAGTAGCAATAAAAATAATATTATGTTGGGGGGTCACCACAATATGAGGAACTGTATTAAGGGGTCGTAGCATTCGGAAGGATAAGAAACACCAATATAGCCCCATTTTCAAATGCCTTCCAAGGTAGAGAGCTACGGGAGGCCTTGAACAAGGTAATGTCTGTGCTGCAGAAAGCCAAAAGTAGGCCAGGTCTAAGCAGGGCAGCCAGGTAACTCCCCAAGGGAGCGTTTCACCTCCTTCGTTGCTTACACCAGCTGTTTGGGTCCTCATTTGGCAGCGTTTACTTGCCGAATGCATGTTCCCCGGAGCTTCTTTGGGCCCAGTCTGACGTCAATGAGTGTTATTTCGTTATAAACCATTTACCAGAGATTGTTCTTTTTTATTTCCATCTGCCGGGGTGATCACTTCTGGCTGAGCAAAATGAAGTCAGGGCGCTGAAAGGTTTCTTGCTTTCCTTTCCTTTTATTTTATTTAGTGTGAAAAAGCCCTTTTATTTTATTTAGTTTGTTATTGTATTGTCAAAGGTTTTCATGGCCGGAATCACTGGGTTGTTGTTGGTTTTTTGGGCTATATGGCCTTGTTCTAGAAGCATTCTCTCCTGACATTTCGCCTGCATCTATGACAAGCATCCTCAGAGGTCGTGAGGATGCTTGCCATAGATGCAGGCAAAACGTCAGGAGAGAATGCTTCTAGAACATAGACATATAGCCCGAAAAATCTACAACAACCCAGACTTTGGTATTGAAGGATCTTAGCTTGCTAAATAAAAGAGCAATAATGTGTACTCGAAGGCTTTCATGGCTGAAATCACTGGTTTGTTGTGTGTTTTCCGGGCTGAATGGCCATATTCCAGAAGCATTCTCTCCTGATGTTTCACCCACATCTATGGCAGGCTTCCTCAGAGGTTGTGAGGTCCCTTTGTTGGGAGGTGATTACCTGGCCCTAATTGTTCCTTGTCTGGAATTCATAACAATAAATAAGGAACAATACTCAAAAACAGGGGAATTCCAGACAAGAAACAATCACCTCCCAACAAAGGTTTCCCCCAGGCAGTAATCCCCTCCCAACAAAGGATTCCCCCAGGCAGTAATCGGCTCCCAACAAAGGATTCCCCCAGGCAGTAATCGCCTCAAAACAAAGGATCCCCTCAGACAGTAATCGCCTCCCAACAAAGGATTCCCCCAGGCAGTAATCACCTCCCAACAAAGGATTCCCCCAGGCAGTAATATCCTCCCAATGAAGGATTCCCCAGGCAGTAGTCACCTCCCAACAAAGGATTCCCCCAGGCAGTAATCCCCTCCCAACAAAGGATTCCCCCAGGCAGTAATCACCTCCCAACAAAGGATTCCCCCAGGAAGTAAGAAGCCAAATATTTAAAATTGCTAGGCCATTAAATGCTAATCAAGGTGGCCAATTGCTACATTCACACCTTCCTCAGAAAAGAGTTCTTTCTCCCACCCTGGACCTTCCACAGATATATAAACCCAATTTTCCTATTTTCCAAAAAGCCTCACAACCTCTTGAGGATGCCTGCCATAGATGTGGGCAAAACGTCAGGAGAGAATGCTTCTGGAACATGGCTATACAGCCTGGAAAACACACAACATAAAAGAGCAATGTTTGCCCAAAAAAATGGTTGCAAGTTCAGAGACTATGGAAAGCATCTGTCTTCTCCTCCTTCCTCTGTATTGCTTCTCTCCTCTAACATTTTCCCCTTCTTTCTTTTCTCACTCCACATGCTGCCATATTGTGGTAGACGTGATCGAGGTAAATCTTTGTCTCTAGTTAATTTTCGAACAACTTTGTTGTGATGGTAAGGAAATGCAGGGTGGCATTGAATGGGCTCTTTCTTCCTCCCGAAATCTGTATTAGTGACGTAATATCCTATGGGTTTTGGTTGCAGGACCCTTTGTAAATACCAACATCCATGGATATAAGTCCCGTGCTATTCAAAGTATTCTCCCTTTATATAAAACTAGCTTGAGTAGCCACTGTTGTCCGGGTTATTTGAAAAAGTCAATTTTCCAATTGTACAAAATGCATAAGATTATGGGTGAACTACAACTCACATCATGATGGGTTAACCCTGAAAAACTCCATCAGTACTTAAAGTTTGTCATGTTGGGCAACTTTGCTCTATATGCATCATCAGTTTGGTTCAGTCTGCTCTCTAGCTATAGGGTAGACTACAACTCCCACTATGGTGAGTCAGTCACCTCAGACCCCTCCAGTAGGTTGAGTTAGTCAGGGAGGTTTTGTGTGCCAAGTGTGGTCCAGGTCCATAATCGATGGAGGTCACCTTTTTCTGGTTGTGGATGAACTACAACTCCCAGAAAGGAAGGCCAATTCCCCTCAAACCCCTCCAGTAGATTGAGTTAGTCATGGGGGTTCTGTGTGCCAAGTTTGGTCCAGCTCCATCATCAGTGGAAGTCACAATTTTTCTGGTTGTGGGTGAACTACAACTCCCAGAAAGGAAGGCCAATTCCCCTCAAAACCTACCAGTATTCAAATGTGGGCATATTGTGTATACATGCCAAGTTTGGTCCAGATCCATCATTGTTTGGGTTCATAGTGCGCTCTGGATGTAGGTGAACTACAATTCCCCCAAATCAAGGTGAATTTTCCCCAAAGACCTCCAGTATTTTTTGCTAATCATGAGAGCTCTGTGTGCTAAGTTTGGTCCAATTCCATCTTTGGTGGAGTTCAGAGTGCTCCTTGATTGCAGGTGAACTATACATCCCAGGACCTACAACTCCAAAATGTCCAGGCCAATTCCCCTCAAAACACACCAGTATTCAAATGTGGGCATATTGTGTATGCATGCCAAGTTTGGTCTGGGTCTATCATTGTTTGGGTTCATAGTGCACTCTGGATGTAGGTGAACTACAACTCCTATAAATCCCTCCAAATATCTGCAGTATGTTTTGTTGGTGATGGGGATTCTGTGTGCCAAGTTAGTTCCAGGTCCATCATTTGTGGAGTTCAGAGTGCTCTTAGATTGCAGGTGAACTATACATCCCAGGATCTACAACTCTTATAGATCGGTCTTCAGTCCTGCCGGATGGATAGTTGAATCTGTGGATACAGAGGAGCAACTGGAGTTCAGGAACTTGCGTTGGAAGGAGACGAGTAACTGCACCAAAGCATTTGATTCAGCGTATGGCTCCAGCCAGCGCCAAGCGAGATACATCTTCTTGTCACTTAGAAGCGTTTCCTCTCTTTGATTTATCGAGTGCGAGAAAATTGGTTTCTCGGGGACTTCTGAGCGAACCTTGTCAGGCTTGGCTTAATTGAGAAAAAAGAGAGAGAGGTCTGGAGACTGAAATGGCGGCGACAGGCTCTTTCTCGCGCGCTCTTTCCTCCCTTTTATCACTTCCGAATCGTGATGGCTTTTAGCATCTCTTTCTTCAGCCCCAGTTGGACTTCCAGTCGCATGATCTCAAGCCACTCTAAACCTTTGTGGAAGCATATGAGAATCTCGGCCTCTCTTTGAGCATTGAGAAAACCAAAGTGCTCTTCCAGCAGGCACCAGCCAATCCCTCTACAAAACCAGTCAAAACAATATCCGTTATAGAACTCCAATATGCTGATGATAATGTCGTCTGTGCACATTCAGAAGAAGACCTACAAGCCACTCTAAACACCTTTGCAGAAGCATCTGAGAAGCTCGGCCTCTCATTGAGCATTGAGAAAATCAAAGTGCTCTTCTAGCAGGTATCAGCCAATCTCTCTGTAAAATCAAGGTCACAACAACATCCGTTATAGAACTCCAGTATGCTGATGACAACATAGTCTGTGCGAATTCAGAAGAAGACCTACAAGCCACTCTAAACACCTTTGCAGAAGCAGATGAGAAACTCGGCCTCTCATTGAGCATTGAGAAAATCAAAGTGCTCTTCCAGCAGGCACCAGCCAATCCCTCTACAAAACCAGGGTCAAAACAACATCTGTTATAGAACTCCAATATGCTGATGATAACGTAGTCTGTGTGTAATCAGAAGAAGGCACTTTAACATCTTTGCAGAAGCATATGAAAAGCTCGGCCTCTCATTGAGCATCAAGAACACCAGAGTGCTCTTCCACCAGGCACCAGCCAATCCCTCTACAAAACCAAAGTCAAAACAACACCTGTTATAGAACTCCAATATGCTGATGATAACATAGTCTGTGCACATTCAGAAGAAGCCACTCTAAACACCTTTGTGGAAGCATATGAGAAGCTCGGCCTCTCTTTGGGCATTGAGAAAACCAAAGTGCTGTTCCAGCAGACACCAGCCAATCCCTCTACAAAACCAGTCAAAACATCATCTGTTATAGAACTCCAATATGCTGATGATAACATAGTCTGTGCACATTCAGAAGAAGCCACTCTAAACATCTTTGTAGAAGCATACGAGAAGCTTGGCCTCACACTGAACATAGAGAAAACCAAAGTGCTCTTCCAGCAGGTCCAGACAACATCTGTTATAAAACTCCAATATGCTGATGATAACGTAGTCTGTGTTCATTCAAAAGAAGCCACGCAAAACACCTTTGCAGAAGCATACAAGAAGCTTGGCCTCACACTGATCATCAAGAAAACCAAAGTAGTCTTCCAGCAGGCATCTCTACAAAATCAAGGGCACAACAACATCCTTTATAGAACTCCAATATGCTGATGATAATGTAGTCTGTGTGCATTCAGAAGAAGACCTACAAGCCATACTGAACACCTTTTTTAGAAGCATAGAAGAAGCTCGGCCTCCGCTTGCTTTGCTGCCATCAGATCCTCTGAAGATGCCCGTCACAGATGTTGCTGAAACGTCAACAGAAAATGTGGCTTGAACACATTGGCCATACAGCCCAGAAAGCACACAACATTCCGGTGATACCAGCCGTGGAAGGTTTCACCAATACATAAGAGAATTTGTTCCATGACGTGGGCCTTCTGTCCTCATTCCTTTTGGAAAAGGGTTACCCAGTTTCTCATGGAAGTGGCAGCAAGCATTGCGCTGCTGGGCACATTCCCTGCAAGCCAGCAGCTTTCCTGTACCTATTGATGCCAATTACGTGTCGGAAGCAAGACCCCAACTGCAGCCCGTTCCTGACTTTATTTGGGACGTGGGACTTTGGCTTCTTTCTGGCACGTAGCTCATTGAACGGCCTGGCCCTTCTTTTTGTCTTGGCCCGCTTTGCCGAATCGCTTCCACCTGTTGCCCCATCTTTGCTGTAACGGGTTGAAGAATGACTGCGGGTGAAAAAGGCTTTTAGGGTATTTTTAGCAGGCCTCCCCTCCCGGCTCTCAGAAACCAGGTCGAAGGGATTACGCAATAACAAATGGAAGACCTTTTTTCCCCCTGAGTCTCTTTTTGGGGGGATCGTGTCCGTCATCGAGGTTCATCCATCAAGCCTCATCGGCTCAGGGCTAAAAAACAAAACAATGGATAAGCCAGGCCGAAAGAGGCACTAAGCCGCGAGGACGGAAACCTTGCATTTGTCTATTTTGTTCCAGCTGGAGCTTAAACTCCATAGGACTAAAGGAGGATCGTGCGGTGTTAAAGCACATGCCATGAATGCGTCCTGAAGTGCACTTTAAGTTAGGGAATACTCCGAAATACAGCTCGTGAAGTCATGCACATAAATAAAAAAATATTTATATACCACTCTTCTCAGCTCTGGGGTAACTCAGAGCAGGTAACGATAGCAAAATTCAATGCTCAAATACATCATAAAACAGTTAAAAACAATTAAAAACAGGAGCATAATAAACAGTCAATATAAATCCGTGATGGTGAACCTATGACATGTGTGTCAGCACTGACATGCATGGCTATTTTTGATGACACGCAGACACATGCAGCTGCATACAGAGAAGTACACCTTATAAGAGCCAATCTAATTCCATCCTTAAATTTGTAAAAGGCTCTACAAATTTAACATCTGCACATTTGAGCATTGTTCACTCCATAACTCAGAATGGATTGTATATATTTTCTTATTTAAACTATAAATATTGCAAAATTATGGTGTGTTTTTTTCTCTCGAAGTGACACCCCACCCAAGTTATGCTCAGGTTTTTGGGGAATTTTGACACACCAAGCTCAAAAGGTTGCCCATCACTGATATAAATCAATAAAA